AAAATTATGTTAATCACTAAATTATGTCAAATGTATGTACCTGCTCTGCACAATATGACATGATTTGTAAATGACATCATAAAAGCCTCACTGAATAGCCTTGTTGTAGAAATAAAATTATAATTCGCATTAGTTTACTTCACATTAGCTGTCGTGTGAACGCAATTTAATTCGCATTAGATTAATTCGCATCATTTTACTTTGCATTAATTTACTGTGAATTAAACTCTCTGTGTGAACAGGGCATAAATTGTTCAAATCATGACCCCAGGGGTAGGGTGGGGCCACAATAGGGAATCCAAGTTTTACATTGAAATGTGCAGAAAAAAATCTTTAAAAATCTTCTTCTCAAGAACCACTGGGCCAGAAAGGTTGAAAGTTACTTGTAAGCATCCTGGGGTAGTTTAGATTCTAATTGTTCAAATAGATCGGGGCCACAATAAGTACTACAAGGGGGGGGGGGGGATCAGGTGAAAAACGGCAAGGCCAGAGTTACTCAGGTGAGCGTTGTGGCCCATGGGCCTTTTGTTTTTCATTTTACTTTAATATTTTATTTTACTTAATTATTTGTCATTCAAAATTGGCAAACGTACATTTATTGTTCATGGGGATGAGACTGGATGCAACAAACTTAAGTCCTGTGTCACAGTAGGTGCTGGCACACAAAAAGTCCCTTCACTGCTCAATGGCCTTGAGTGCTGAGTCTACATGTAAGTCTAAATTTTCAGCCCTCAACCAGCAATGGTGGTGTCTCTACATTGTATTTGAGTACAAAATATTCAAGAGGGAGATGTTAAACAAAAAACAAACATTTATTGTTCAAAATTATTTCAAGGAAACAGATTAATATAAGTTGCAGCATCAATTTGTTTCTGAATCTTAAGTGTATACAGATTATTGAGTGTATAATGTATGTTGACTTATCCAAATGAAATGAAGTTCAAATCAACTCTTGCTAACATAATTATTATTTAGTGAACCCTTTCAGGGGTTGAAATTTTCCTGGAAATCCCATTAGCCCAGGGGCTACTAATTAGTAAAAAAATTACTAGCCCAAACCTCAAACTAACTAGCTCGACAATTTTTCTATGCAAAATGAAAATGTAACAAGTTAAAGTTTCACACATTTTGGTGACAGAAACAAATTAAACTATTTCTCAGTCAAAAGAAACCAGTCTACATAGAAAAGAGAAAGTGAACTGACGAGAAATTTTTTTCCCGTTCTGCTAGTGCAATGGACTATCATTACATTTAAATTAGCTACTGCAGGGCTCTCACACCACTTTTTGGGAATGGGGCCAGGCTGTAAAGATTGGGAAAATAAAGACCTTTTGAGAAATTTTGGGATAACCATTATATGTACTTTAAAATCATATATATTGGGTTTCCTGTCTTTGCTATCAACTAAATTTGTTTTACAAAACAGAGGAATATGAATAGCAAGTTAAGTTATTATATTTCCAGCTATATTTTCTTTTATTAATTTTTGGGAGAAATGACTACTGGGAAAATTAACACATTAATTGGGAAAAAAGTACCTTTTTTGAATTGGGAGTGGGGCCCTTGAACGGCCCCAATTATAGACAAATGAGAGCCCTGGCTAGCCTGAGTCTTAAAACGACTAGCCTGCTAAAATGACTAGGACTACCATATATTTCAACCCCTGACCCTCTGCACATCAGAGAGTGTTTTCTGTGTAATGCATGAGCTCCCATGTAACACTTCACTATTGCAAACATATGGAAAAAAGACAGCTTGTTTTAAAATAATTTATCTGCATCTCTAGCATGTACTGCCTGATCTTGATTTATCTCAGCTGTACATCTATCAAGGGCAAAGTTATGCACAAATTTGTTTTTTTTTTCCTGCCTTAGGTCTTTTTGGCATGACCTCTAACAGTTTTGGTCTTTTTAATTACCTCACCTGAGCTGAGGCTAGGTGAGCAATGAGGCCCATGAGCCTCTTGTTGACTTTCTGATGGACTCTGACAAATGTTGAGTGTCAAAATAATGAATTGGTTTACTTTGCAGCAGACCATCCTCATAGAAGAAATCTGCAGCTTGACTAGCAGAGCTGTCCAGATCAGTGGTTACATCCCTTTCTTCAAGGGAGTTCTGCCATCCCCTCCCTAACCCAGGTGAACTCATCCCCAGTAGTATGCTGCACTGGTAGATTTGCCCCACACACCCCAGGACTGCAGTGCTTGTCAGCAGTGCCTTCATCCAGTAAGTGGCTATGTTTAGAGCAAACTTTATTTTCAGTAACCAGTTTATTAATTTGATGTTTGGTTGTGATATTCTCAGCAAATGAGTACACAGTCTGTGTCACTGGCTGGAATGGTGTTTTACCCACCTCTGAGTACAAGGGTTATTATTCATGCCAACACACCGTACAGGGATGTCGTGGGGGAGTCACTTCCCCTAAGGGTGTTGACATCTACCAGCTGGTGACATTCAGCCTCATTAAGGGTTTCTATTGTGAGCATGATTTTATTTGATGTTTTTTGTAGGGACTGCAAGAAAGAAGGGCAGTGTTAGTAGAAGGAAGAATTTTCCTCACCCTACCATTACCTAAAGGGGGTTGCCCAGTGACTAAGTCCAACTTAAAGACCATGGTGTAGAGTGTGTATCTTTCCTACCCAGGGATTTGGTCTCTACATCCTCATAATAATTGTACTGCCTTGATACAAACAAATAATATTCACGCAGAGGAGTCCCATTCTGCTCAGGTAACTGCATCTGTCATTAGATGCCAGGTCCCTCACAAGGAGTCCATCACAGCCAGGTCACTGCATGATGCTGGTGCAGTGAGACAACTTCATTTCACATCTCGGCTGTTTTTCCACAATGTAGAAGTCTGTGGGAATTTTGTTTAGCAAGCTTAGGTAAAGTCATAATGGTTCATTTGCATAGAACAATCAACGCAGCTAAAAGAGCATAGCAGCAGATATGAGTTACTTCCCTTAGACTTACTGACATGACATACAGAACTTCAACATGATGTATAATTTTAAAATGATATTCAGCTGCATGTATCATTTTGACCTTGCATGTATTAACATGTATTACATGTAATTGTGTATGACATGTATTCCATTCATAGAGAGTTAATTTTTTATATAATCTGATAAATAAATAGTTAAAGGTCTTATGCAAGGAAATAGCCAATCAAAATGAATTTAGTCAATTGTAGTTCTATATATATAGAGACAATTTCTTTTTCTTTTTTCATTTTCGGCAACCTTTTTTTAGGTCTACAGTTTTAATTTTGGACTCATGTACTAGGAACATCATATCTTTAGCAGAATTCTGCCACTGAATTAAAGGGAACTCTTTTTTTAGATGCGCATGATGCAACTTCCTGGATGGTGTGTAGGCTGTTTGTCAACTTCCTGGATGGTGTGTAGGCTGTTTGTCAACTTCCTAGATGGTGTGTAGGCTGTTTGTCAACTTCCTGGATGGTGTGTAGACTGTTTGTCAACTTCCTGGATGGTGTGTAGGCTGTTTGTCAACATGTGAAACCCACGTGTATTTCAGGGTAGGTATGTTTACACTCAATTTTCTTTCTTAAAAGCCGCATAAGGCGTGTTTTTTCTGATCTCAAATTTTTGTCTCAACATTAATCTTTATTTCCTTGTTCATGAATTATCTGCTGAGAGTCTAATTAATTAATAAATTTAAGTAAAGCTACATAGTAACATATAGTGAAATTATTTCCTTGTGTGAGACCTAAAGAGGAACAGGTAACTCTCATTTTGACCAATTTCTTTGATTTCAGGAGTAGTCTGCCCTTTTGATTTCAGGAGTAGTCTCCCCTTTTAAAGATCAAAAATGGCGGATATACAATGCGGCATGCAGTCTGGTCATCAACGTATTTCTACCAATCACCTCTGTAACCTTTGTTGTGTTCAGACAGGTAAGAAAAACAAGATTATTAATTAAAATAATTTTAATGAGATAATTTTACATATTTACATGCATAGACTCCCTCGTATAAGAAAATGTCACATATTTTACACATACAATTATACATCATTTACATATCCACATTTTCCCCATTTACACAGTTGAATAGATTCAGTGCATAATAAAAAAATAGCAACAATTATTACATGTAAGACAATTCACAAAATATTTATTAAATGCAAATTTCATACATTTAAATTAAATACACAGCATCAATCCCCCCCCCCCCCCCCTTTAGAGTCTTACAACTTCCTTTTTAATTTTGGATCTGTTAGTGATTTACAGTAAGTGTCTTTAGATTTTTTTATCGTACTGCTGATATCTTTTAGATCTATAGTATTTTCCTCTTTGAGATTTATATTTTAACAGTTTTTGTTTCATTTTGAAGTAATTTTGCCTATTTTGTTGTTGTTTTAGATGATGAACCACTCTACTTTCATTTACAACAGGTGCCCCTACAGATTCACAAAGTTCCAATGTTTAATTTCCATGACCCCTATTTCTACTACTTGTAATACATTTTGGATTTGATTTTAAATATGACCTATTCACAGATTCAGATTTTTGTGTACAAGTATGATATTTAATTCTATCAAGATTACTTTGTCCTAAAGTCAAATTTATACAGTCTTTTAACAAACATTTGTCATCTTCTGTCATGTTTAATTCAAAGTCACTAGGCAGCACTGAAGATTTCCACTTATAGCTTTTCAGTCCATGACAGGAAAAGGAATAAAGTTGACGGGACTTTCCGCACTGTCCTTGGTAGCAGCTTATGACAGCAGTGGACATAGCCCGCTTCATCAAAGGTAAGTCTCCGGAGTAGTGTTTGTAGCAATTCTCATACTCTGTCCTGCATCGAAGCTTCAGGTCCAAGGCAAATCTTCTCTGCATGGATTCTTTTATAGCTTTATTGATTCTTTCCAGAAACATGTGACTGCTGAATGGAGCCTTAGCAGTCTGTTTTCTTTGAGAGTCAAGGAAGTGATGCAAGTCTTTAAGGTTTTGAATCACATGTCCTTGTTTTACAGATGCTCCAGATGCAGCGGCACTATCTCCATCACTGGTGAAATGGGAAATGACGAGTGGACGGTCAACACTTTGTAACTCCCCGATACAGTTTGCGGCCCATCTCTTCTCATCTCCAATGGTGGTCTCCGGAGGAAGGGTTGCAGTGTAGTCTTCGTGTCCTGGGCAGGTAACTTCCTTTCCTTTGCTTCATAGGTGTGTGCCTTTCTTGCATAGTTTGTTCCCACAGAACACTGCCAGAACATTTTTCCTCTGAGTTACATTTTCACTTACGGTATAAGTCACTTGGGTGGCAGCTTGGAATGGGGTTTTTTCAATGGCACTGAAGGTGGCATTATTATACCTGGCATCTCCTTCCGCTCTGATAGCGGTATCAGGAAGTCCACATTTTTATTAAGTTCTTGAATATTCTGCCTTATTTTCTTCATACTGTTTTTATTTACTTCAGTGATAATTTTCCCCACTTTGTTGCAGGTCTGTTGCATGTTGGTGGCTGAAGCTGGTTCAATATTTGCACCAAGAAGCATACCAAGCATACCCTCTGTTGTAAGACTGGTACCCAGGTGACCGACAGCCATGGCCACATTTAGCTGTGCAGCTTTTCATCCCCTTCCAGATCTCCTCACCTCTTCGTAAAGCTTTTCTCGGTGACTGATATAGTGGCACTTCTTACATCATATAAAAGGATCCATGCCAGGCCTCGTTTTTCCTCCCCATGCTGATTCCAGTCCAGTGAACCATCACAGTATGGAAACTTATGTGAGTGTTCTATAAATGCCTGATTCCACAATTTAGCAGTCTTCTCTTGGTGAAGGACTTTGTATAATTTTGAATTTGGATCATCTGACACAGCTTCCATGTAGAAGTCCACAGGCTGGATTTCACTTGGCCCGGGTCACAAAATCTTCATCTCACTGCTTCGGCTCTTGGCATCTGTAACTGCAAATATTCCATTCTTCTGTGGCTGTACAATGTCCCGAAACTCTTCTTTACTTAGTCTTCTTATGGGAACTAGAAATTGGACTGGGCTGGTGGTCCCTATATTCTTCTGGCCTTTGTTGTGAGGAATACTTCCTTTTTTGTATTGATGTTGAGGCAACCATTTTGGTCCCTTTTTTGGCATGATTATTATTTAACTGTACACTTGTAGACTTTTTCTAATAATATTATAATGCTATTGTATGTGGTGCACATTTTTAAGTATTGTAAACTTTTGTGTTGTTTATTTATTTTAGAGCTGCCTGGTCTACTAAGAGAAACTCCATTCTTTGATGACTGATGGAAAAGCCTCATCACCCCCCACTGCTAAAGAACCCCTTATCTTAATCACCAGCCATTAATCAGTGATCACTGTTATCAAAGCTCCAAGGTACATTATTGAAGTCTCTTTTGACACCATTTTTTCCAGTCTCTGACTTTGTTTTAGAATTAAGATTTTCAATTTTTTGCTAATTAATTCCGTATAAATCACTAAACTTCCTGTTTCTTAACTAATTAGAGCTTATTAATTAGAGTTCAAAAAACTTTTAAGCAGATAGCCAAAAACCCCAACATTTCAGCTTGCATTTCATTCCAAATTTTTTTCTCAATAATTAACTCATAAGATTTTTTTAAGTTTTGAAATTAATATACTGTAGATGAATTTGTATAGAAATTTAGCCTAAAATTCAATAATCTGTTAGGAAGAGTTATCTCCTATTTTTCATCCCTTAAGGACAAAGATAAATTTTGATACACTATATGAAAGATAAATAACTAAAAGACATTTTCTGCAAATTGTATTTAATTTCATTAACTTTTAGTCGTCTTAAAGGTCTTACGCAAGGAAATAGTCAATCAAAATGAACTTAGGCCAAACAAAAAAAATATGTGTGGTTCCGGTTACACCTCCAAAAAAATTAGGGTAGGTAGGTAGGTTCTTTTTTTTTTTTAAATGATTTTCTTAATTTTTCTAAATAATACCTATCACTCCTTTGCAAGTGGCATTTAGATGTGGTATGATAATATACTAGTCAATATTGGTAGGGACACCTACATGCTAGCTTGCTTTGGATTTAACACTATTAAACACTTGCACTATGTTTTGCAAGGAGGCCTTCATTGCTGGAACTAAAACTTAAACCGGAGCCATAGATAGAAATCTGGGAAAATTCCGGAAAAAATATGAAAATTGCCGAAAAAAAGTTTAGGGTCGGGGGTACAAAATAGGGACGGTCGGGTAACCGGAACCACACATATTTTTTTATTTGGCCTTAGTCAATTGTAGTTCTATATATATATAGAGAGAGAGAGACAATTTCTTTTTCTTTTTTTGTTTTCAGCAACTTTTTTTTAGGTCTACAGTTTTAATTTTGGACTCATGTACTAGGAACATCATATCTTTAGCAGAATTCTGCCACTGAATTAAAGGGAACTCTTTTTTTAGATGCGCATGATGCAACTTCCTGGATGGTGTGTAGGCTGTTTGTCAACTTCCTGGATGGTGTGTAGGCTGTTTGTCAACTTCCTGGATGGTGTGTAGGCTGTTTGTCAACTTCCTGGATGGTGTGTAGACTGTTTGTCAACTTCCTGGATGCTGTTTGTCAACATGTGAAACCCACGTGTATTTCAGGGTAGGTATGTTTACTGTCAATTTTCTTTGTTAAAAGCCGCATAAGGCATATTTTTTCTGATCTCAAATTTTTGTCTCAGCATTAATCTCTATTTACTCTTTCATGAATTATCTGCTGAGAGTCTAATTAATTAATTGATTTAATTAAAGCTACATAGTAACATATAGTGAAATTATTTCCTTGTGTGAGACCTTAATTTGTACATATAAGAAAACTTGAGAAATTTTGCTTTGTTATCATTGCTTTATGCAAAATTTGACAGACTGATTTGATTCATTTTCATTTAATCACTGTGGAAAACTTTTATCTTTCAGCTTCCTTGGCCAAAGGAGATGATGGCACCTTGGCCTTATGAGCATTTTTCTCTTTCCATAACTGATGGAATCTCTGAATCCATCTGATGCATTTCCTCAGACAGTCTGCTCTACTGTGCAGGTAAAATTCCCTCCTCTTTACTTTCACTCCCTAATTGTGTGGCATAGTTTGGGGTTTGAAATTGACCCTTTTAGCTCACCTGAGCTGAAGGCTCAAGTGAGCTTTTCTGATCAAAAAGTGTCCAGCGTCCCTCTTTCATCTTGCCACAAAGCATCCTTGTGTAAAGGATATTTAAGTTTGTTCACAGGAAGTGCAACACCCTCTTTCAAGGGGAGATAATTAAGAATTCCTGAAAAAATTGGTGGCATCATTTAAAAATCTTCTTCTCAAGAACCACTGGGCAGGAAAAGATGAAACTTATGTGAAAGCTTTATTACATACTCTAGATTCAATTTTGCTCATATCATGACCCCCGGGGTAGGGCTGGGCCGCAAGATTGGGTTGAAGTTTTACATAGGAATATATAGGAAAAATCTGAAAAGATCTTCTGATGAAGAACAGCGAAGCCATGATTAGTCATATTATACAGTCAAACTTGTCATAGCGGTCACCTTTATCCAGCGGTCACCTGTCCTATGCGGTCATTTTATTTCCTCATAATGAATTTTCCTATATAATGTAACTGTATTGGAAAAAATAATTGGCCTTATTAAAACCATTTAAAAATATTGGATAATTTATTTATTTTTTTAACAAAACTAAACAAGGGTGCTGTGACCGAAAAGGTTATCAGGAAAACGGATTTACGAGAATCTTAATGTTATTGAATTTGAATCTGGTTTAAAAAAATTCTGAGTGATATAAAAAAAAAACAAGACATCCTTATTTATCTATTAATGGATACAATAATTAGGTGTTTCCTAATTATTAGTTCACGTTTAGCATGCCCAACTCTGATAGGCGTAATTGTGTAAACGCATGGCATGCCGTTTTTAACACATAGGAAATGTATTATTTGTAGAAACCCTAATTTAAAACTGTTTTGTATACTCAATGTGTCCTTGATTATTTCGTGATTTTCAACTAGGTAAGACGACCGTTAGGATTAGCCACGCTTCATTGCTCACAACACCTGGGAATTTGATATCAATTTGTATTATGTACTGCTTTGAAAAACTGAGAATATTATGACTTGTCTGTTTATTACGCTACTATTTATGTATTATTAAACATACAATTGTTAGGACTAACTAAACTTGTATTTTTTAAAGGCAGTTTAGATAAAAAAAAATACATTATATTTTATTCATGGCACAACATGATGATGACATCTTATAATAAAAGAAAGTTTTTTTGTTGTTTGGAGGAAGGATGCCCTATTAGACTCAATATATATATTTTTTTGGAGTCATAAAATTTAGCTTGAACTTAATCTTGAAACTATTTAAATTTAAAAAAAAAATCTAACAGAGCTAGACCATTGATTTCCAAAACACATCTTTCTTTAATATTCCATGATTTAGTATTTTAAAACACAGAACTTACAATTAAATTGGAAAAGATTTTTTTCTTGAAAAAAGAAGAACCTCTTTTCAAAGGTCACCTCTCTATAAAGGTCACTTTTAATGTTTCCCACAGGTGACTGCTTAATACAGGTTTGACTGTAATAGAAGTATCCTCAGGTAGTGTAGATTCAAGTTTGTTCCAATCATGACCCCTGGGGGTAGGGCAGGGCCACAGCAGGGGGTCAAAGTTTACCATAGGAATATGTAGGAAATATCTTTAAAAATCTTCTTCTGAAGAACAGCTAAGCCATCATTAGTCATATTAAAACAGAAGTATCCTCAGGTAGTGTAGATTCAAGTTTGTTCAAATCATGACCCCCAGGGGTATGACAAGGCCACAACAGTCAAAGTTTTACATAGGAATATATAGGTGTAATGGTTAAGAGACATTTGAGTAAAACACATTTTAGACCTCAAATAATGGAATGACCTGATAACCCTTGGAATGGATTAGCCAAACCAAAAGTTATGTAAGGCAAAGCTTTGGGAAAGTCAGGCATTCAGAAGCTAGCTGAAGAAGTTGGATGCTGAATCAGCAATAAAGAAGTTAAGGTATTCCATCCCTAATAGCAACAGATTCGATGAAATTGAATACATAACAGATGTGTATGGGTGGAATACTCAGTATATTTAAGGAATCACTGTCTAGTTAATAGAGTATGCCAGGGCATCAACGATAGTTGGAAACGTGGGATAATTTGCCTACGTTTCCAACTATCATTGATGTCCCTGGCATACTATACTAACTAGACAGTGATTCCTTATATTTCCATTTCATTGTGAAATAAAATTGTAAATTTAGATTTTAAAAATGTAGAAAGATTTAAATTACACGAGGCCTCACAGGTCAATTTTAATAGTCCCCACCCACTGATGTCAAACACAAAGACAGCCGCAAGAGAATTACATGCATATTAGGCCTTCTTAGCTCCTGACCTTTCATCTGGCGGAATTTACATTCCGGTAGAATGATCACAGTAGAGTTATCACAGAGAAAACAAATAGAAATGGAAATATTTAGACATAATTCCCATTTATTACTATTAGCATGTAATATTGTGGGATGTGTCTTCATTTATGACCTTGAATTTTGTTAAGGGTTATCTCCCTGTGTTTTTAATTAATAAAAAGTAAATTAAAAAAAAAAGAAACTTATCTGGTAAAAAAAAAAATCATTCTATTTCTTATGTTTTAATGCATCTTTCCATGACAGTATTTATTAGGGATGTCAAATCGGTCAATTTTTGATAATCGGTTACTCGGACGTTTTTCCGATCGAGTACCCGGGTACTCGGTAAAAATGAAAATACAAGACAGTGTGATAATTTTCTTGAGCCCGGTAAAGCTCTGTTAAATTCCAAAGCTGTTTTATCACGTTTATAAATGTATATAAACAACTGAGTCAAAGGGAAATGATTTTTGGTAACAAATTTATTTATCAAATAAACTCAAAAGACACAATTAATGCATAAAAAAATAAAAATGGTTTACAGTTCTTGTTTAGGACCTATTTCATCAACGCAAAAGGACAATCTGTTAGGCAGTTTTGTGATGTTAGACAAATGAAGGAGAAGGAAAAGACGTTCTTGGGATCGCTAATCTAATCATTTCATAATTTGGTTGTTTCCCATTAAACCTACTACGCAAACTGACTTTCAATTTTTTTAAAATCTTTAGTTATTTCTAAATATTTCTTCACTTTTGAAGTGGGTAGCTGTATTTCTATGCATGTCCGATTTCGCTACCGTATATTGATTAAATAATTTAAAAACGATTTGACTATAATAAACCATACTTAAACGATGTTTTCTGAAAACAATCATTGAAGCCATCCAAAAATTAGGGACCACAATAGGAGAGAACTGCTGTGTACCAGATGATTGGTCATTAATTACTGTATATACACAGCCACAGGCGATAACAGGTGTTTTACAGGTGTAGATGACGACACGCTAATTACATGTACCCTATGAATATTTAAGTAATTTTTTGATAAGTTTTTGATAAAAATATGTACTTTGAAATAAGAAAAAAATATATTTCCGAGTAACTGAGTACCATTTTTAGTATTCGATACTCGGACGTTCAATCGAGTACCCGGTTAACCGGGTACTCGTTGACATCCCTAGTATTTATTGATGTTCTTATTATTTGAATTTTTATTTTTAAAAAATCGCTTGTCCCCAAAGACTTCAATGCGATCTTTGTTA